GCGACTTAACTCCTCCCTTACCTGGCTAGCCAAGTAGTAAGTTTGTTAAACATGAAAAAGTTTGATCTAACTAGAAAACACCTTAAATAAGCAAAACCGACATCACTTTCTACTTACTGATATGTATGAATTCATGTCTACGTCATGACCTAATTTAACGAAGAAAAAACTGTAGAAAGAAAATTGACAATATATGAGATCACTGACATTTATCAAGAAAAGAAAAGTTGACGAACAAAGTTCTAGGACTGACAATGCAAAAACGCTACAAATATCGTGTAAAATAACGAAGCGATCTATGACTGAAATGCCTCAAGCTCTGGAGAAAATGTGTTCAAACGGCTATACCAGAAACTGCTGGGTCGTTCGGAGAGTAATTTCAATTTTCTTGTCGTTTTACAGTACACTTTTTACCTTCGAAAGAGATTTCGGTCAAGGATATAGCACTGTTTTGTGCGGTTATCTTTTGCCTTCCTCGTCGTCAATTCATAGCTCGTCGCCTAGGTTTTTTGGCCAAAACTAGACTACAGTATATTTGATAACTCATCTTCCGTAAAGGTTTTCCCAATGAAGGACCTCTGCAACTACCGAAATGATTCGTATTCGGACGGGACGAGATCAGGGGAACATAATGGATGGATGTTGAAGAACTTTCCAACCAAGCTTTATTGACTTTTGCCAAGCCTACAAAATGTATGCGATCTGGCCTTGCCAGAGCATATCATTACTCCTTTGCGACTGACCAATTTTGGGAGGACTTTGTCAAATGCCCCGTGGAATCTAATGAGTAGTAGTCCAAGTTAACATCTTCGTTCCTTGGAAGCACTTCAAATTATACCTCACCTTTGTAATCCACCAAGGTGATGTCGTGACGACCTAAGCTAACCCGCTTGGGCCTGTCTATCTTATAATTATCATAATCGTTTGTAAAATTATCGTGAACATGCCAACTTTTATCAACAGTCACTATTCGGTTCATCAATGGGTGGTCTTCATTGCTTCCAAAGCTTAAATCGCAGGCACTACCTCGCGGCGTCAAGTGCCTCTCCTTCAATTCGTGTGGCACCTGAAGTTCCAGCTTTTTTGCTCGTCCAAGTTTTGCAATGTTCTCGTCAACTATTCCCATAGATGCGTTGGATTCGTCAGATGTTTCTACATGGGTTACACGGTCTTCTAAGTGAGTGCCATCAAAATATCGTCACTCATGCCTAGTGGTCAGCCCACCTTGAAATGATAAACTGCTACATATGTAATATATGTATTTATATGTATATCGGATAAAAAGCGTTCAAACCCCGAAAAGAATCGAATTAAGCGTTTGAAAAAACCGTTCTCAAAAATCGAAGATACTTTCCAAACGACTTAATACTTCAAGAAACCTTATTTATACTAAAGCTCTCATCTCATGGTAAGCCTGAAGAAACCTTAGACGGGGATGAGTTCAGTTGCAAGCCGCGTTCGGATCGCTTCTGTGCGGTTTTCAAGAATGATCCACACGTCTTCGGCCAATTCATCCAATGTTGTGTAGCGAACTCGCTTCGAGTTGAAAATATCAGCAACGAACTGCGTTATCTGTTCCTAAAAAACGATTATTTTGAAATAGGTAACACAATATACTTAAGCAACAGAGATAATTCAACACAACTCTGCTACCTTACACGAGGCTTTCATAATAAAATCTCCGAGCTCATCGCAATTGTCACAAGAAAATACAAGAACCAACTAAGAAACACGTTTTACCTTGAAGTATTGGCATAACTCCCCAATGCGCGAGTCTGTGCCCAGAAATCCAAGCGTAATTGCCGGCGAGACTGCTTCAGATACATCATAAACGTGCGCAATGAATCCATGCTGGTCCTAAGGTATAAAATAAAATGAAACATGAAATTGATGTGATGGGGAACAAATAATTTTTATATACCTTTAACCGCTGACGCTTCGCCCTTAGCATAGACCATATTATGGTACTGAGGGTTGAGTATTTCATCGAATGCGATAGGAAGATGTTTTTCGTCACTAAAATATTAGACCACCACTTTCTTCAGATACTTTCAGTATAAGGACGGTTTTGAGAAGCTCCCATTGGGTTGTAACATAAGTTCGTAGAGTTTTGCGTAAGAGTTATTTTACAACGACTTGTTTTGTTTTTTAGCAAAGTGTATATATTCTTTCGGAAGTGCTCTTTCTCCTCTACAAATTGTTTTATTTGTTTTTCTGGATAATTTAATTGTTCGTCTTTTTTCTGGCTTAGAAATGGAATATCCAGGAAGAAAAAATCAGCATTTTCGACATCTGCTTCTCTTTGCTTTTTATCGCTTTTCATCGAGGTCAAAGGTCATCGGGACATATGCAGTGTGTACGGGGAAGGTGTCTAAGGAGGAGGTGGTCGTTTGGCGCGGCCCTTCGCACCCAACTTGCCATTGGAGCAAATAGGCTCATAATTGCTTCCTTGGCGCCGCCCATTCGACTCGGTTTGTGAGCTGGGCAACTCGTCCAACTGATTCAACCTCCTGACAATGCCAGTCAGCCTACTCATTGCCCATCGAGCTGATACCATCTGATACATCCTAATCGATAGCGCCGCTATAGTTGGACGCCGAATCGATCTACCTGTGCCCTGTCTATTTCTACCGCGAATTTGGCTATTTTTTCGCCCTTTTTTGCTTCTCGAAATTTTTTAACCCATTTCAAGTGAATACTGCTAAGTTACAATGGAGTGGAAGTATCATGGTCGTTTTGGAGCCTGATACTTACCATTTCAAAGTAATTTGCAGTACTTATGTATGACGGACTGATTGTGTGGTAAGTGCTTCATTATTTCTTCTTTGAAACACATTTGTTTATCACAATATTTATTTCCATCGCTAACTTCGTTGAAATGCAGATGATCGCGTAGTAAGCGTTTCGAAACTTCAGACATGATTCCCATTTCTTCTTTCTTCACAACATTTGTTATGTTAAATTTATTCTGTGTCCCGATTATAGTATAGCATTGCTAGCATTAAGTTTACTATGAGGTGTAATTGTTCCTTATTTCTTTGCTGTGCGAGTGGTAAGTGCAGCGATAGGGCCCATGAGAAGCACTACGATGAGCAGAAGAGAATTCCGCTCATTTCTTGCTAAAAGATTACGACCGCTACCCTTGATAATGTCTGTAATTCAGTGAGGGATCTTCTTCGGTCGGTATCATTTGCGACAAAGGTTAACCAACCGCCAATAATTCTGAATTCCCAACTAATGATATCTTCGTGAAGAACAAGGTCCCTTGATAACGACATATGAAAATGGTGTTATCAACACTAGAAACATTGTGGGCACCGCCCAAGGCATTGGTTGCCCAACAGTTGAGTCTTTATTGAAGGGTCTTTAGGGTATTCACTCTCAAGAACGAGAGCAACAGATCGAGACTTCCAAAAAAGGCGTTAGCACCGACTCACACTGAATACCATTCGCTCTGCTCTGCTAGTCCTGTGTCAAACTTCGTGTACAGAAAATATTATTTGTTTCAAAGGAGTGAAGAGTTAGCCGGCTATTAAAACTTTGTCTATGGAGGAGGGGGTATTGTAAATATATGTATCCAGAAAGACTATTTAATAATGTGCATGACAACAAAGTAAATGATGGAAATAAATATTGTGATAAACAAATGTGTTTCAAAGAAGAAATAATGAAACACCACACTATCAGTCCGTCATACATATGTACTGCAAATTACTTTGAAGTGGTAAGTATCAGACTCCAAAACTACCATGATACTTCTACTCCATTGAAACTTAGCAGTATTCTCTTGGAAATGGGTTCAAAAATCTCGAGAAGCAAAAAAGGGGTAAAAAATAGCCAAATTTGCGGTAGAAGTAGACAGGAAACAGGTAGGTCAACTCAGCGTCCAATTATAGCGGCGTTATCGACCGGGATGTATCAGATGGTATCAGCTGGATGGGCAATGGGTAGGCTGACTAGCACTGTCAGGAGGTTGAATCAGTTGGACGAGTTGCCCAGCTCACAAGCCGAGTAGAATGGGCGGCGCCAAGGAGGCATTTACAAGTCTATACGCCCCAATGGCAAGGTGGGTGCGAAGGGCCGCGCCGAACGACATACACCCTGTCTCAGGTGTGCCTACTGCACAAAAATGGTTCGCACAGTTGAAAAAGCTCAGATACTCTTCGTCGAATTCTGCAAGTCGTCCGCTTCAAAGCGTGTCTTCAAGGTCAAAGTCGCCATTTTTAAACTTTGCGAACCATTGTTGCGCAGTAGACACACCTGAGACACCTTCCCCTTACACAGTGCATATGTCCCGAGCGGCTTTGGCTGCTTTTTACTCTCGATTGGAAGCGAAAAAAAGCAGATGTCGAAAATGCTGATTTTTTCCCCTGGATACTCCATTTCTGAGCAAGAAAAAAGACGAACTATTAAATTATCCACAAAAAAAAACAAATGAAACAGTGTTGTAGATGAAGAGCTCTTTCGAATGAACATAAAAATTTGCTGAAAAACAAAACAAATCAATGTCAAATAACTCCAACGCAAAACTCTACGAACTTATGTTACAACCCAGTACTATCAAACACATGCCTCACACCTAACCTATCACTTATAAATTATGAAGAAACTCCAAAGAGCAGAAAACAAGACCGTGAATCACTGCTCCCACTATCTCGAATCAGTCAGAAAGCACGCACTTTAACGGCTTTTGAAAATGACGCACATCCATACATTGAGCGTTTGCTCCGATGAGCCTTCTAATCTTTAATCATCTCTAATTTTCAACATTTCATCGAATATTGCTGATGGCAGGGAGAAGGTAATGTAGCGGCAAGGCTTCAAACTACCACGCTCGTGGTGAAGGAGTTGAATCACGGATCGGTACCCGCTCAGACCTTTCATCACCATTAGGTAGGTTACTTGTTAAGAGATTGTCCGTGGGCAGACTAAGGCATCAATTGGCCACCTAACTCACTGCAGAGGTCAAGAAAAGCCACTCAATTCTGAATGGAAGTTGAAAGCTATTGCGCATCCCTCAAAAGGATTTACCAAAGGCAGAAAACTTTATCATCACTATTTAACTATTTCTATGCATCTATTAATCAGCGGAGTAAAACTTTTAAATGAGCTATGGACTTATGACGATGGAGTGCAGCACTTTTCCTAGCTGAGTCCATAAGAAATTTGAATATCAAATTGATACGAGTACCGTATGACGATAACGGCCGAGACGATTTTCAAATATAATAGAAATAATTTATATCAAGACGCACAACAACAGGTGAAGACAGTTTCGCTTCGGCTGTTCAAAATTTATATCACTCCTTCCGATACTACGAACCTCGCTATCTAAGTTCCCGACAGGCGCAATTTCAATGGTGCGGATAACATAGAAGCTCTTGAGTATAAAAAC